CTGCTTAAGGTTCGACCTTACCATCTGGAGTTGGGGTGGGGTTATCAGAATAATGCAAAGACCACCACAGCAGGTACTCAGCCAAGCTCCCTGGTGGAAACCAGTTCTTAGAGCCCCCTCCATGCGGGCAGTGAGTGACTTCGAGGTCAGAAAACTCTTGTCAGGTGATGCTGATGGACCCCCCCCACCCAAACCCTGCCCACATGCTAAGGACCAGCAGTCTATGGACCCCACCATTACACCAGGTGACTTGCTGACAGTGGTAAATCCTCCATGAAGTGGTAAACTCCTTCTTTACACAGATGTACTGAACATAAACAGAGTGGACAATGGATAGACGGCAGACAGGTGGACAGACACGTGTGCCCATCTGATTGGCAGATGGTAGACAGGGAAGCAGAGACTCCAGATGATAGCTGACGGGTGGGCAGGCAGATCCAAGGGTGACAAAGAGCTCTCCAGATAGCTGGACGGACAGATGAGAGACAACCAGGTGAGGCTCATTCTCCCTGACCCAGAGCATGTGACAGAGGGGACCTGCCCCCCAGGGGGCTTTGTGAGCCCAACACAAACACGTCAGCAGCTGATTGTGTAATATTCCTAAAGCTTGTCAAAGAACGGCCTCTTCGTTCTGTTGATACTCTATCATTTTGTCGTTCTGCTTCACCACTTTGCCCTTCCATCGTCTCCCCTCAACTTCGCTCCATCTGCTGTGCTGTCCTTTGTAACTGAGCTGTGTCTGAGCTCACCACGTCTCAGTCGTTTTTAAATATACACTCTTCTGTCTACAGCTTTATTATTTTAAATCTGCCCCGTAAGTTTTTAGATCAAGTCGAAATGTTCGATTTCCATTGTTTTCATCCTTGACTATTAGTGATGTGGTGTAACTCGATTTCCAAATGCTTCTGGGGTTTTATTTTCATTCATTTCATTAGATTATCACATTTTGAGACCCAAATATCAATTCTTTGGCATTTAGAAATATTCACTTTGAAGCATACTGTACATTTCAGAATGCACAATTTCAGAAATATTCCATGTTTTAAAAATGCACATTCAGAAACCACCAGCTCTGAGGTTCTATGTAAGTCTTTTTAATCAATCATGCTAACCTTCCACGTGTATTAATTCTGTATTTTGTGCCCAGACAGTGGAGAGAGCTTTGTTAAAAACCGGCATTCCAATTTCGCCTGATCAGTTTGCTTTGTGCATGGGGTGCCTCTCGGGCGAGGCGCGCGCAGCACACATCTGTCCCATTGCTGGCTCGTGAATTACTCCATGACTCTGAACCAAGGATCTTCACAGCTTAACACCTAACGTGTGATCATAGCCATGTCGGCTGCACTTGGAGGAATTAGCCATCCGTTTCTTCTCCCGCCTGTGTACTTCCACACGCTCTGTGTCCTCACACACCTCTCGGGAGAGCAAGGCTTTGCTACCTTGTCCAATCCAAGAACTTCTCTTGCTGCCAGTTGGAGCCAGTATGTTCAGACTCGTACTGCGTACTGCCTTCCTTTCACTCTTAATTTGTTTTCCAGCTTTGGGTGAAATCTGGTTTTGCTTTACTGGTTTAAAAATGTATTTCTATTCCCTTGGCAGTCGCCCATAAAATAGACACTTGACCTCTGGTAGCCAAGCAAAACCCCCAAACCAAGACAAACTAACATCCACCCTCCTCCTGAAAATGCACTCAGTGTGTGGAGGGCCCACGGCGCCCTTCAGTGACCCCAGCCCAGGGCTCAGCCTCCTTCAAGTGGATGGACGCTACCTGTGCTGTCCTGGTGGACGTTAGGTTTACTCACAAGTCTGCAATCTACCTGTCCACTACCCTTTCTCACTTCCCATTACTTCAGTGTAGGTTCAGTATTGTTTCCTTGGAATAGCACATTAAACCCCCCACCCCAGTCTTTGTCTGATAGGCTTTTTTATGTTTTAACACAGGGTCTCACTAAGTCCTTGAACTCACAATCCTACCTTAGTCTCCCAGGTGCTGGAATTACAGGTATGCACCACCACACCTGGCTTGTCTTCTTCTTTTAGGAGGACTGTAATTTGGCTACATATGGAAACCTGGGCTGAGGTAGCATCTTCCTTCCTTGCTTTAAGAACAAAATCATCTGTTGGGATGTCTGCTGCTTTTTTTGGTGGCACTGGGGTTTGAACTCAGGGCCTCGCACTTGCTAGACAGGCACTCCACCACTTGAGCCACTCCGCCAGCCCCGTTTTGTGCTGGGTATTTTCAAGACGGGGTCTCAAGAACTATTTGCCCGGGCTGGCTTCGTACCTCAGTCCTTCTGATCTCTGCCTTCTGAGTAGCTAGGATTACAGGCCTGAGCACCAGCACCCAGCCTGTTTTCACTGAAGATCAGCGTTCTGCAATTTCAGTTGCATTTGCCTAGGTCTGAGCTGATGTTTAATGAATCTGCTCTGAGTTTGCGTTTTTACAACCTGAGAATTTAAGTTTTCCTTTAATTCTAGAAATTCTTGATAACCCTTTCTTTGAATATTATCTTTTCCCACGTACGTCATTTGTAGATATACGCTGGTGCTTCTCAGTCTCCTTTCTCTCTGTTCCTAACTTCCCATATTTCTGCTTCAAGTTGTAACACACACCCGTGTGCACATGGACACGAGTACACACACACCCCAACCCTCAACCACACCACGGCGTGAACCCAAGGAGCACACCACACTGGTCACTCTGCACCCACACGAAAGACTAAGCCACATTTCCTAAGTTCGGTCCCAGACAAGATCAAACCTGGTTCAGAGTCTGAGTTTTCCCTTGGGACATCGTCGTAAATCGCTTCCTCTGGATCTGCAGCGAGAGGAAGGAAACATTAAAAACTGACCAGAGACAAGAGTGACCAAAACTTCCAGATAGTGTGGACAATAAACATGAGTACTGGGGAAATCTAGACAAATTTCACACTGGAAATAAAACTGCTGACAAATAGCTAATGACCATTTCATACTGTGATGACCCTTATTCGAGAGCCCCAGGCACAGCCATCTAACTACGCTAGGACCTGGCTTTAAAAAGTCACAATTAAAACACAGAAGATAATAGAATAGTTCCTAGCAGCTAACATGGCTCGGCCTTAAGTCAGTCACGTGAAACAATCACCCAGAAACTAGGGAGCCAGAGGTAAAGAAAAGCATAATTAGAAAGTAATCTTTACTTTCTGCCTAGAAATTAGAAACAAGTAAGTCTAGCTAAAAAGTCTCAGCTCTTAAACTACACGTGGAACCCCAGGTCTGATGTGCCGTCGGGCAGCAGGCCAGCTGAACCACCTACCTCCCCAGTCTCCCAAGGAATCACAAGTGAGAAGTTTTGCAGGTGTCTCAAGTGACAAGCTGGCTGTGGGCTACAGGTCAAAGCACTGCTTCCCCATTCTATAACCTACAACAAGGCCAAATCCACCCCAGAAGGAAACCTCAGGAAGGAGCAGGCTGGGATGCAGAGCTCTGATGGATGGTGGGAAAGGAAATGCCAGCCTCAGAGAGGCCCGTGGAAGTTTCTGCACATACAGCTTCTGCTAAAATTTTAATTCCCAATGCGCTGTTACAACACTGCCACCTGCTGCAGGCCTGCGCGAGCTCACAGGGAACTGGTGTACTCACTCTCCATCCATGCAGTGTTGGCAGGGTCGGCCGCCCAGCGGGCCAGGGCGCTGCCCTCCTGGCTGCCAAGATCACCGCTGGAAGGAAACAGACCGTTACATGGGGATGTGAAGAAGCGGAGGCACGTGTGTACATGTGCACGTGTGTGCAGGCTATTTGCCTGCTAGCTGTGTGTTTTCCCTGCTATGAGTGCAGACTCCCAGGTTCAAGTTTTCATTCTTAACTCTTTCAGCAAGCGCTTTCAACTGCCCCCGAGAGCACAGCACAGTACCTGGTACTATGGGGTCACAGTGGAGTGGCCTCCATCCTGCACTGGAGGCCTGGATTATTTTCCTGTCTCCCCTGTGCCACAACTACCTGGCAGGACTCCTGAAAGAGGACTCGGCTCCTGTCACCCTCTCCCAGCTGGCACTGGCCCTGCACACACAGAAGTGACACCTGGTGGCCAAGGCCTTTGGTAAAAGGGAGCCACACACCCAGGCAGGGTGTAGACAGGACAGGGCCCGAGAGCTCAGACACATGTGAGAGCACACAAGGGCCACTGAGTCCAACACCCAGAACACAGGCGCCGTCCAATGCCCAAGCAGAGCGGCGATGGATGATACCTGGGTGGAGGGTCCTCAGAGCTCAGAGAACTGAGTGGGCAGTCTCCCATGATTTCCGGTGTTTCTGCTGAGGAGAAAGAAGTGACGTTTTATGCCTGACAAAAGTGTTTGTGCCGTTGAGTTTTACCCTTAAAATGATTTATTTCCCTTTCTTACCAAAAGGCTGTTACCATAAAGATGATTAACTGACGCTTTAACATGTCTTTTAGATAAAATGCACTCAAAATATGATTACAATAAAATAAAATGAAATGTGAAATACCAAGGACTTATGACAGACAAAACAAAAAGTACAGCCTGGCAGGTCAGTCAGGCTGCAGTTAGAGGCAGCAAGGCCTCCACCTTCCATTTTCCAGGCTCTGTGGGATTTCACTACCTGAGCAGCCTGCAGGGGTATCCACCTGGCAAACCCAATGGTCATCAGACGACAGACAGCAGTGTGTGACAGCCCCGCTCTTACACACAGGCCCCGCCTCAGCCCTCCTCGGGTCTGACTGGTCTTTTCCTACCGTATGTTTCAGTTTGCAAGTGCTGAGCACGTGACAAGGCCGGTCCATGTCCCACAGGCTCCATGTACTCATGCAGGGGGACATGAGCAGACAGGCAATGAGCGGCCTGAGAAGCAGGTACAGACAGAGGTAGACCTCCAGCTGGGACGGCAGGTGGACAGGAGATGCACCCACCGTCCTCAGGTGGCCTCTGTCCTTGCCCAGCAGCCCTGTGCAGGGAACCCCTTGGTGTGAGTTGATGCTGCCTGGCCAATGGCTGGTGTGATTCAGCAGGCTGGCAAAGGTGCTCATGATGGGCCTTCAGAATGGACTTGCTTTACCAGCAGGTCCTGGACATTCCTAACTGCCCAACAGCTAACGAAGTCCAGGAGAGTCGACCCTGTGCAGTCAACGAGCAGACCTCATCCACAAGGGCAGCCTGTCACCTGGGCTGCGGCCACTAAGCTCGCGGCCACATAATCCACAGAGGTGCAGGTGTGGGAGCTGCCACAGGAAAGGGACGCACCCCCTCAGACGTGGCCTACCCAACTGGCCTGCTCTCACTCTCTGCTTGGGCTCTTGCTTCCAGGAAATGAGAAGCAAGCTCAGTGTACCCCAAAACACGAGAGCTCTGACTCAGGAGGTGGGAGCAGTGAGCACACTTGGGACACGGGATGCACGAGCTCTCAATGGCAGAGGACTGATGTGCCAAGTGGCCCTGGCCTCAGAAGCCCGCTGTCCCTGGGGGAGGGGGCCTGAGTAGGAGTTGCATCCCGGGACAATCCTACAGAGCTCAGTGGCCCCCACCGCCAAGGCAGGTCATGGGCACCCAGAGCTGAGAGGCTAGAGGGCTTTGAGCCTAGGTCCGAGATGAGGCACCTCGGATGGGTGCTGCATTCTCCAGCCCCGTCTTTCTCTGCTATCTTTCCAGGTACAATGCAGAAGCTCCCAGGTGGGCAAGCTGCTCTTCTCATGAAGTGAGCTGAAGGTGAGGACGGACCACTCACGCAGAATTTAACTTGCACGCAGGTGAAACGTCCAGAAAAGGGCTGTTTTCTTTCCAGTTAAAAGCAATTAAGGAAAAATCTGTGACAAAAACTCTTGTCTCTGAATGCTGGAAATCAAGGTTCGTAGGATGGATTTTAACACAGATTTTCCTGCCAAAACTGGCCCAATGCTGCCTTACTGTGTAACACAGAGGAGGCCAGCCACAGGGAGGGAGAGAAAATTACAGAGGTTTTGTGCTCAGAGAAGCACTTTGCTTTTGTCAAATTATTTTTTTTAAATAACCGAACATCATTTAAAGTAATTAATTTTGTAAATAATCTGGCATGATTTTAAGACAGTCAACCAAGAGCCGGTAGTGAAACTCATCGTAATGAACACTGTTGTAGGTTCTGTTTGTCTTATGTTCCTGTTGCTGAGGACAGTGTCAGCAACAGGAACAGACTGCTCTCCAGAGTGGAGAGAAGCAGACGGAGGGGCTGAGGGCATGTGGGGGCCAGCACGGGGTACAGGCCAGAGTCCTTCCAGGTGCAGAGAGCAGATACTCACATGCCCTCAGAGCTGTCAGACAAGACGCCGAGCTTTCCTTATCTGCCTCCTGTCACAGGAGACAGTGGATTTGGGTCTCTTTTTCCAGCCTCACAGATATACACTTAACGGTGGAAAGGAAGAGGTAAGAGCAACAGAACCATCGTGTTGCTGAGCAAAGGGACAGGCTACATACCTTCCTCCTCCACAGACTCAGCACGGATGATGACAGGGCTGGAGTAGGCCGGGGGCACCAGCAGCGGCAGGTTGGAAGGAACAGCGTAGCCACAGGGCACAGGCACCGAGTAGCCGCTGGGCACATGCAGCCCCACCACATCTTCCTCCACATTTGGATCAGGGCTCGGGGGCTGGTCCTCCTGGAACGGTGTGATGTCGATGACAGAATATGGGTTCACTTTTGTAGTGATGGGTTTGGCAGGTTCTGCCATGGTGGCCCCATTTCTACCTCCTGGAAGATGGAAAGACAGGTGTCAGTAAATGGCATTCCAAAATGCTGAGGTCCCTCACGGCTACAGCCAAGTACACAGAGACCCCAAACTCTCCATCCAGCACAAGGAACCCCGCATTCCCAGATCATCACAGCTGATCACAAGGCCAGGGTCCACACAGACAGGCTGGAATGGGTGAGGCCACAGTACCACCTCCGGGCACAGGTGAGACAGGCACTGCCTGGGGGCTCAGGATGTTTGTCCAGTGAGACAGGCTGGAAGGTCATGGGACAGGTTCTGCAGACAAGGTCCCTAGACCTCAGCTGGGTCTACACAGCCCGCTGATGAGTGTGTGTAGGCCCCCATCCACCTCCAGACTTGAACGTGAACCTTGACGGTTAATTCACCCCAAATGGCATTGCGTTTTTAATATTTTATGTAACAGTAACATGGTGATGAGGCAATTTCTGTTAGGAAACAGCAGTGCCTCTGTCTCCAAAACGTAAGTAGGAAAGGAATGTAGAATGAGATTGAAAATTTGGGGGAAAAGTACAAAACAGCAGAAGAAACTCAGCCAAAGCTGAACAAAGTTGGTAAGAAGCCAGGAACCTCCCTAGCAGCTCCTGCCAGGCAGAAGAGGAGCCCAGAGCCATCTGCAGCACACAGTGGGTGTGGACAGCAAGTGGCCAGCAGGACTCACCTGCAGGAGACACAGCTCTCCCTGCTTCGGGGGTTTCACCTGCCTCAGCACCTCTCACCCCGGGGGTGGACGGGGCTTGTCGATCGGCTTCGGGAACTTCATCTCCACTGTCAAAGTCGAACTGTTCTCCCTCCTCCTCTTGGTTGTTATTGTTATCACATTTCACTTCATTTTCTAGAGTTTAAAATAACATAAAGCACAGGTTTCCTGTTCCTGGCATGGCATTTATTCCTTCCTGTTCAAGGACAAATCCAACAGAAGAGGAGAGACGGGGCTGCTGGGCAGGAGCCTGTGCAGCACAACCAGGCACTCTCCTTCTCTTTTGTCTTTCGCCTTGTAGCCATCCATGGGCAGTGAAAGGACATCTCTGCCTGCTTGCTCAGCCACCTCCCCTGCAAGAGTCCTGGGGAGCGGTGTGCCTGCACAGGTCACTGCCCGGACAGAAGCCCATGCTGCAGGGGGGTGAGGCACAAGGGTGACAGGCACAGGAGTGAGCCAGGGCAGTGCATCCACAGGGAGCCCTGGCCACTCATGCCCTAAATGCTCTCTGGCCAGCAGCAGAGGGCTGCGGTGTGAGCAAGCCCCCTTTCTCTAAGTCTGCTCCAAATCTGACATAGCTCTGAAGACACGAAGGAACTAACACCCCAAGAGCAATCTCAGAGGATACTCACCCTCACGCTCCGAGGCTGTTAAAAAGGACCGCATTTGATTAAAATTTGAGCGCTTAATTCCGCCTGATTTCTCTCACTTCATATGAAGGCTATTTGCTTTTTGCCTTGTTTCTTAATGTGCTTTACAAGTGTCAGGCTCCAAACAGCTTCATCAGCAAGCGGCCTCGTGCCCACCAGCCTGGCCGACCCCACTGGACCCGGGGTGTCCTGTGGTTCGCGGCTGCACTGCTGAGGAAGGAGTCCAGGCACAGGCTCCCGCTGTGTGCAGGACCCCCGGGGGAAGGGGCCTGGAGCGGGAGTGTGCAAAGACTCACAAGGCCTTTGGTCACCGACTCTTCATGCATGGACATTAATATGGCAGTAGTACCCATCTCTCTTGAAATCTCATTTGGAGTGGAATTTGCCATGAATGAGAGAGGCGCTGGTGGCCATGTGACTTTAACATTACCACTGCTGAGCTTTGCTTTTGGAAGTATCTCAGAATGTCTTCAGGCACAATTGGTTTTAACCCAGACCTTCCTACAAGTTAATTTCTGTGCTTCACAAATGCCACCTGGCTGAGTCCTCGTGGGGTGGAAAGCCACCCGAGCCCAGCTTCTATCTTTTACTTTTAATGTTAACTCTCTCCTCAGCACTTCCAACACTGTAACAGTGTCTGCCACCTTAGGCTGTACCCACGGCAAGACCGTGTGACACGGGCTGAAAAGATCCATGCCAGATGAGCAAGGAGCTGGCCCAAACCCACGCACAGAAACAAGAGCAAACCACGGCCCAGATTCTGGGTCTCACAGCTTCAAAAATCTCCAGAAGGTGGGCTTCCCATCTGAGTCCTTGCCCTTCCCAGGAATCTCAAAATGGTGTCAGTGCTGCTGGCCCTCAGGGGCACCTCTTGTCCTGCTGGCTTCGTCCACCTGTACAGCCTTGGTCATTCATGACATCTCTGAGTGCCTGATTCACTTGGGGAACAGATATGACTGCAGCTGCCACTGTGTGTCACAGGCTCTGAGAGCCAGAGCATCCACGCAGTGGACAGAACAGGACAGGAGGACCAAAGGCTAGTCCCAGGTCATACAGGCTAATCTCTCCCAGCCCGCGCTCCTAACAGCCTGAGAACAGGATCAAGTTTCCCAAGAGCAACAGGAAACCATGCTAAAGGCCGGCTGTGGAAAAGTTGAGCACAGAGGCCAGCATCCACTGGCAGGGTCTTCCGTTAAGGAAAATAACTGGCAGGCTCCCCTCACACAGTCTCTAGTACTGAGCAGATGGGTGAGGAAGTCTGTGGCCCTGAGCTGCCCCACGGGAAGGAAGCAGGAAGCCTGGAGTATCACCCTGGCAAGGAAGGGTTTATACCTGGACACAGTCCCTCTTCAGCACCTCCTCCTCTGATGCAAGTCTGATTGGATCAAGGGAGGGAAACCTCAGGGGATCTGAGACACTGTGGATAGGTCACCAAATAGGCTCTGTGGTCACCCAGTCATGCAGGTACAAGAGCTTGGGGGAAAAGCTGTCGCCCCTTCCTATGGCAGTGACAACCTCATCCTCTCCCTGAGACGCTCTCATCAAAGGGCCTGCAGTGTACTGACTCCAGAACTATGGCATCCTCACTAAAAGTCATGGCCACTACAGGCTCCAGGGACACCAGGGTGGAGGCTGAGACATACCTGTGGGAACAGGAGGAGGCAGCTCTCGCTGGTCCATGTCAGCCCTCGTGGCCTCTGTCCAGGGTGGGTCAGGGAACAGGAGCCACTGCAGACAGAGACATTGCCCTTCTCTTTCCAGGAAATGCTGGTCACTCACTCAGTGCAGGGCTTTCTAGTAATGACCCTGAAACAAGGAGAAAGGTCACATCATTCACTTGCAAATCTCCCTTGAAATAATGGAGCAAAACAAAACAGTTCTCAGAATGATTTCACCTGGAGTCACTGCCAGCAGTTTATTTTGCAACCCGGATTCCCAGTCCAGACCCAACACCCCAAGACCCCCACTTCAGTCCACACTCAACTCCCCCAAGACCCCCCTTCAGTGCAGACCCAACACCCTAAGACGCCCCTTCAGTCATTGCTGAATTTCATGTCATGGTTTCAAGGAGAAATCAACACAGTGAGAAAGTATTTTTGCTTCCTGCTCCTTCAACTAACACTTTTTAAGGGTTTTTCAGAGACTTGCTGGAGATAAAGAACAAAGTTACCATTTTCTTAGCTCCCTTTGAGCAAATGTGTAACTAAACTTTCTAGACTCATCCAAACTTTCTAGACTCATCCACAAGCCTGTTTTTTTTTTCCTTTGTATATTTCTTTTCCATCTGACCCATGCTAAGACCACCCAATGCCCACCCTGGTTCTGCCAGCACTTCCAGAAGAAAAGCAAATGGCTGGAGACCCTTCCTGGTGGCTTTTTGCATTATCTGGAACCCATGAACAGGACATTCCATGTCACAGCTGCCCCCACTCCTCCTCCACTCTCTTCTGCCCACACCAGGACTATTGCTGTGCTCACGTGCTCCTCACTGAGAGCAGACTCAGGAAAGGCATAGGGGCTGGGGGGCAGAGCTTTGGACTTTGCAAAAGTCCATACCTAAGACACCAAGCCAGCCCAGAGAATTCTAACTCAGAACTCATGCTTGCTTTGACACTTTCAGGAAACAAACAGTGCTCTAGTTAAGAGGAGCTGGTGACATGTCCCAAGCCTGGCAGCCCCTGGGACGCAGAGAGCTTCTGTCTGCCAACCTCTGGTATGCCATTGCATGGGTCTTCAATGCTGCCCCATGCACTCCTCACCCAGCTTCCCTCACTCTCACTCTCATGGGTGCTGGAAGCCACTTAAATGCCTCAGCCGGAGCCAGCAGGCTGCTCTGAACAGCTGGGCCTCCTCACTGGGCAGCTTGTGTTGCCTGAGTTCAGGGAATTTCACCAACAGACATGCACAGTCCACCCTGCCAGTATCTGCCAGGCGCAATGGCAAAGGTGCAGGCAGGCTGTGGTTGTCTCACCTGTTGACCGCGTAATCACAGCTCCTAGGAGTGGGTCCCATTATTATTTCAGATGGAGAAACTAGGATTGAGAGGGCTTGTGAGATCTACCCAGGATTATACCTGAGGACAGGTGTCTGCCCTTCCACCTGCCAGCACAACCTGAGCAAGAGCCACGATTTCTGTGCAGCCCCTGCTTAGCCTGGAGCCAATGGGCTGCAGGTAACACGTCTTGTGCAGGTGATGAAGACCGGTGCCTAGCATCATGCTGGGCACATGGACCAGCCATCACTGCTGCTTGTGGCAGGAGCAGGTGCTGAGGCTGCTCAGCTCCAATGCTGCTCTGCCTCACACCCACCACCCTGCTGGAGCTCCCACAGCAGGAGCTAGAAGACATCCCTCCATGAAGAGCAGAAGCAAAGCAGTTCATCTTCACTGCAGAAAGTGGTGGTTTAGTGCCCAGCTTTTGGCAGTGGTGTTCAGACCACGACAGTCACAGTAGCACATAACACAGGTGGAAGGCGTCCTCGGAAAGAAGCTGGACAAATGGTGCTTCCAACACACAGACAGACAGGAAGCAAGGAGGATGAGGAGGGCTGTTTCATCAACAGATACGCACACACACCCATGCAGTGCTGCAGAACCACACAAGTTCTAGAGTGGCATGCTCTGTAAATGATGGAGCACATGTGTGTGCAAATACACACATACACACACAGAACACTGGAGATGCCATGGAATGACACCATGGAGACGACCCGGTGGGTCACGGAAGGACACAGTAAGGAAAGGACAGGATTGAGGTGGCCTGAGCAATTCCTGGCGCCTCTGACGCTCGCTGGGAGGAAAGCACTCCCAATCCTCGTGCCATTTCCCAAGGAAAGAATACAAATTCTGAGTGCACACTTAGGCATCCTGGGAGTTTCCATGATTCACCTTTGCTGGAGAACTGGAGCCAGACAGCTCGAGATGACCAGAGGTGCTGGAGGCTCAGTCCCATTAGGGAAGGAACACGGACCAAACTGGGTAGCTCCTCAGTGGGCCCAGCCCTGTGCCTGTCCTTCCACAGGGAACAGGACAGATGAGTCCAGCCAACAAAAGCCCTTGACCTCTGCAGTCCTAAGAAATGGAGAAGGAAGCAGGCAGTGCCTAGAGCACTTGTGGCAGGAGAGACAGCCTCACCATTGACAGTATCAAGGTCAGGCAGATCACGACCAAAACTCAATCAATCACTCGCAAACACCAGTAAGAAAAAAGACAAGCATAGCCAGGGGTGTCAGTAGGATGTAGAAAAAAAGCAAAACTGTTCTGTGCTCACTGCTTACCTGAGGGGTGAGCGACGGCAAGGGGCTCACCCTTCCTATCAGCAGGCAAAGCAGTCATATTTTGCCTGGAGTCTGTTGAAAAACAGACATACCACGTGGCACGCTGCTATGTTACCTTGTGTCTTGAGCCTGAATGCTTACTCATTTAAAAACAATTTCTAAACCACACTGCAAGGTGCTCGAAATGCATGTACACGGAGTCCGACCAACGAGAAGACCAACCCGAAACAAGTCTGCCTGAACTCTTGGCAACAGCTGACCTTTGAGGTCATCCTGGCTGGCTCTCAAACAGAGCCTACCATGTGCAAGCTGTCCTGGAACTTCCAGTGTACAGCCCCAACAAAACCCACACCACACTCCCAGGGAGAAAGACACTCTCTGCTCCTCACCAGGGATGAGGAGAGAAGCCCAGAGAGGGCCCACTGCCCAGCTGGTGAGCCTAACTCCAGGGCAGTGCTCCTGCCCACTGGACAGTATCAGGCAGGTGCTCTGGACTCCTCCTTTGGACCTCTGTGTCCCTGGAGACCTCACTCCTGCCTGAGCTGGACACTTTCTAGGGACGAGCACAACAGCTGCTTTTGTCTCCTGCACCCAGAAGGCAGCACAGCCACATTTCATGGTACACGGAGAAGCACACACCCTCCTGCCTGCCTGCCTGCACACTGCTGGGGTGCTGAGAACAGAGGTAGGTTCTCCTGCAATGCTGGGCTTTCCAGAAGCATGGAGCACCCCACTGCCCTGCAGCCTGGGACTTCGGTGCCCTCTCTAGGGCCGGCATGCATGCCTGACTCGGTTGCATTCTGCAGATGGCATTCTCACTGGAGAGGCTGGAACCGCAGCCAGACCAGGCAGGCACAGAAGAGACCGATCAGGGCCAGAGCCCGGGAGTCTGCGTTTAGAACTGCCTGAGAGCATGAGATAATACCAGCCTGGACTTCGGCCTTTGTTTGTTCCACTGCTGTCATCTTCCAATTTAAGCATCATAATGAAAGGTCTCACTGTGCACTTGGGACTGTGGTTTTAAACAAGACGTCATATTCAGTCAAAGAAGCCCAGAGACATTGGCGCTGTGTGCTGGGGACACAGCAGCTCCATCTGACACAGCCTACCAAACTCAGGGCGGTCATCACCTCCCAAAGTCACTCTTCTTCCTCATGGAGGCACACCCACATCTCACTTCTGTGGCATCACGTAGCTGGGTCTTCTAGGAGATGGACGGTCAGGGAAGGACCTTGGGGAGCTTCCAGGACCACATGTGCACCACAAGCTCCTACAGGCCAGGAAAACGGACGTCCTACCAAGACCCCACATGCTGAAATGTGCAGAGGACAGAGGGTGGACACACAGCCCTCCTGTGCGGGCTCTACTGTACCAGGCACTGACCCGCATTGACTGCTGTAACTGAGAGGTCACGGAGGACGCCCCTACCTGACAGCTGCCTGAGGCCTGGGTGACTGGGCCTCACAAGAGCCCCGGGCAGGGCTGGCAGGCAGAACAGTGTCTTTCTCACCTTCATTTCTGATGCAGCTGTGTTCATGCGGAGCACAGGCCTCGTGTGTCCTGGGCCTCGTGCTGGGTTTCCTGATGTTTGTCCTTCCAGCCTCCAGGCCCTGCAAGGGTGAGGCAGCCAGGACAATCCTGAGTCTACGCCAGACTGAGCCAGTGTGGGGAACACCGAGATCACCGCCAGAGGCAGGTCTAAGGTGGTCGTCGCCCAGCAATCCCTGGACAGAGGGCCTGGCTCAGAGTCAGTAAGGTCCACGTGAGACTTGGGGGCCACTGCCCTGCAAGTCTGGGGACAAGGTGGCCCCTGAAGCCAGGAAGCCAGGGCAGGAGCAGAGGCCGTGGGCCAGGGGCAGATCTGGGGCTATGCAGTCTCTGAAGTCCCCAGGGAGAGGCCTGAGGCGCCTCATGCTCACAAGGCGCTAAAGCAATGCAAAACCCATGAGGACCAGTGCTTGGCACAAGTCTTTTGCAAACAAAGCACTGGCTCTTCCTCCAGAACTTTCCATAGCAGACTTAAAGCTTATGAAAAGAGAAAATCCAGAAATGGCTTCTCTTCCACACGAAGGGAGCCCGGGCACCCTGGGAAGGCACAGTAGGGACCAGGGGTTTCAACAGGCCACTCAGAGAGTGCCATGCAGCCAGCATGTATCTAAGGTGATGCCTGCTCACGCCGGATACAGACTAGTCACAGAGCTCCATTTACTCTGCAAAATGCACAGTTCATCAGCTCACAGCACCACGGGGACAGCCGGTCCCCAATGTCAGCCGGCTCTTGTCCCAACAGCCAGCTGTGGTCAGTCACATATCCTACAACTGCCCTGCTGCTCATGTGCACACGCACACACTTCTGCCCAGCCCTTTCCAGGACTTTCTCACCTGCAGACTGCGCCCCCAGTCCCTCTCTCACTGACTCGTTCCGTCCTCTCTCTCTCCTTCTCTGCTCCCAGCCATGGGGACAATGGTGGCAATCCTCAGGAAAGCACTTTTGGGCCTGACTGAAATACGGTTGCAGTGATTCCTAACAACAAGGCCTCATTCATGGGCCTGAGGCAAAACCCTGGCTGTCCTCCAGATGAAGCACACGCTGCAGAGGCCACCAGGGACAAGGTGGGTGAGGACCGGCAGGTGGGAGTGGGGTGGCACCGGAGCTGGCAGGGACTTTGGTTGGTGTAAGTCTGAGGAAAGGCAGCCATGGCCCACAGAGGGACGCGGTACCAGGCCCAGCCCTGGCCCCTTCTGAGCCACAGTGCCCAACCTCTAAGATCTGTGGCCCCAGGCCTCTGCACCAGCTGTGCTCCCATGATGCCCTGGCCCAGACCTGGGGCCAGGTCCCTTCGGGGCTGGGAGCATCACTCACCCGTGGGGGCCCTTCGTCCTGCTCAGAGCAGCTGAGATGATGCAGGGTGCATGTATTTGGAGACAATGCATTGGTCCAGCCCAGCACTCTCTGTCCCATGGCCCCTTCCCAGAAGCAGGTGTGGCTGGTGACAACTACCACCAAGAGTGTTAGCCCAGCACTCCCTAAAACACTGTGTGATGCACAAGTGAGTCCACAGGGGACCCCCAGGTACTATCTGTACCTCTACCCAGGTGGAAAACGTGCATTCAGTTGTTTAACCTATGTGAGAAATAAAAACTCAGAAATGCACCTGGCACCTGCTCAGCAATCACAAACCCAGTGTGGAGAAGGCAGGGAGGGAAGAAGTGAGGGGCACGGTCAGTTGTGGGCACAGCCAGGGCCATAGCCAGCCAGACCTGACCTGGCTGCTGGCCAGCTTACACGAGCTCTCTCTGAATCCGGCCACCAACCAGCATTTCCACACCCAGGCCCGGAACCCACCAGCTAAGTGAGTGCGTGTGTGCGCGTGCGTGCGTCCTGGAGCCCAGCCTGAGCCTCTGCATGAAAATGCACTCCCTGCAGTCCTAAGTGAGTCACCACACCCAGGGATGTTCTCTGAAGCCTCAGACCACCTCGATCAAACCACAAGGTCCCGTTACTACAACATCCCACGTAGTTTGATCGTTACCTTGCTTGGCAGTATGGCGACAGCCTTGCACACTTTTTCCGTGAAACAGGACGTTAAATTCACAAAACAACAGAGCAAGTCAGGTGCTGGTGGCTCACGCCTGTAATCCCAGCCAGTCAGGAAGCAGAGATCAGGAGGGTCATGGTTCAAAGCCGGCCTGGACAAATCATTCACGAGACCCTATCTCAAAAATCCCTTCACAAAAAAGGAGTGGAAGCGCACCTGCCTAGCAACCACGAGGTCCTGAGTTTAAACTCTAATACCACCACATAAATAAATAAATAAAACAAGAGCAGAAAGCTTTCCATAGAGGGAAAGAGTCATCAGACCTTCCCAGCTCAGTGGACAGACCCCTCTGTGGCCCAGCCTCTCCTCAAATATGAACTTGGACCTTACAGCAGCATCCCAGTCCTTGCTGGTTCACTGCCTGTGATGTCCCAGGCCATGCCCAGTCCGAGAAGGTACAGAAGACAACAGAAAAGGGGAATTCGAAAGCTGACCAGGGATAGAGCTGAGTCAAGCCAAACCACCCTAAATGGACAGAGGCGAGAAGGGGACAAAGGGCAAGACAACGCCTGAGTTCCTGCTGACCATGGGCAGTCATACCAGCCATCTCACGTGTGAAAGCCCATTCAAACTTCCAAAAGTCACTTACAGACGGGACACCATGGCTCTGTGATTTAAGTGATGCGAGAGTTGCCGTGGAGCTGCAGTTCCTCCTTCAGTCACCAGTGGGGTCCCCTGTCTGGGAGCTCACAATCCAGTAGCAGCATGCAAGTGGATGGGGTGTCACAGTTGTCATAAATGGCTGCAGAGAAGGCAAAGGGATCCAGCTAAGACAACCTCTGATGGAAGGAGCTGGTTGGCCATGCTTGCCAAGCTGGAGAGCCACGAGGACTTCCTGGAGGTGGCCCTGGAGCCCAGCTCTGCAGAAGGGGAGGGCGCTAGGCTGGGAGAGGTTTGGGAACAAGCATGGACAGGCCACTGGGACATAGGAGCAGGCAGCCTGGATGTCCCTGTCCAGGGCATGGGTGGGTCCTTAGAGCAAAAGGGATCCACACCCAGGGCTTAACAGGGCCAAAGTGGGTCCTGGAGGAGGAGGAGGTGGAGGTGAAAAGGGGTGGCAGTGTCCCCAGGAGGGCTGTATGACTGGTGAAAGGAGGGATGGCAGACTGTGGGGGTCTGCAAGTCCTGGGCTAGACTTCAAGAGGACAGGAGCACTGATCCTCAGCCTGGCCTTGCAGCAGTGCATCTGCAGACTGAGTCACGTGCAGCCCTCAGAATGCTGCTGTCTAGAGGTGCCAGCAGAAAGGGTCCAGGCCACCCCCATGGCAGACTACGACCACCCTGTCCTGCACCACTCCTCCAACCCAACAGTCCGGAGGAAGCCCACATGGCACAGGCTCCTGGTAAGACACCTGTCCCTCAACCCCAGGGTGTCTTTCCCTTCTAGTGGATTCTCATGGACTCTGTGCCACTGTCCACACACAGACACCAATGGACAGAGAGCTCCAGTCCAGTCCTTCCCCACCCACACTGAGGGGGAGCACAGCTAGACAACCAGCTTGGACACATGGATGGACCCTCAGGCCTTGGGGTTGAGCGGTGCAGACTGGCCAAGTGCCAGCCTCTCCTTCTTCAGGTGGGTCTGAGCCTCACTCCACAGCAATGCTCCTGAAGTGTCGCCATGGCCAGTAGGACTTCTGTGGACCTGAGGTGGCTGGGCAGGGCAGGTGCTAAAAGCTACACCTATGCAGGCCTCTGGTTTCTCGCCACTCACTCTGAACCAGGTGTCGCCTTCACCCCGATGCAGTGGCCCTCAGTGACCTGCACTTGGCCTGGTCATCAATGACTGCGTAAGGCCACAACCACTGTCTGACTCAACCAGCAACAGGACCTGATACTCCCTTTCCGGCTGCTCCTTCTGCTGTGTCTCAGGAGGCTGATAACTGCATCCCTCCTCTCTACCTCCTGCTGCCCAGGGCAGTCCTGACCTGCTCTCATCCACCTGGGTGGCTCCATGCCACCTGCATATCCTCAACCTCCTGGTGCAGGGTTCCCAAGCACAGCTGCCTGCTCCGCACCCCGGAAGACACCCGGCAGACCCTGCCCACCTCAGACTCAGCAACTAGCCCAGCCGACCACATCTCCCTGCTCTCCTCGCCCACAAACCCAAGGCAAACCCAATTAGCTCGACTTCAAATCCATCCACATGCTGACTGGCACAGTTGCCTCCCTGATCCATACCAGCCTCACCTCTGCCCAGAGCCACTGCAAACTCTCAGGGAGAACCTTGGCCTCCACCTCTGCCTCTGCACAGCTGTTCCAAGTGACACAGAGAACAATCCTGTGGGCACGCCAACAGGTCTGCCCAACACCACACTGTCGCACTGGCCCTCCACGTGCTGTCACCCCGACCCTCCAGATGTCACCTTGGCCCTCCTGGGTTTCCCCATACTTTGCTGCCAGCTAGCACAAAGTCCAAGCAGTCCTTTCCTTCTGCACTCCACTCCCTGGCCTCGCTGCTCCTTGGACATGCCTGGTGGAATCAGGGTCTTTGTACATGCTGTTTTCTTGCCCGGAATGTCACCTTGGCCCAGTCCCTCCACCCTCAGCTCTTGATCAAATTATTCCTTTAGGGAGGACCTACCTGGCCCCTATGTAACCTGCAAGTCCCTTCCTGGGGAACCTTCTACCCCACTCCTACTTTTCTTTCCTCAGCCCTTCCATCAAAAGCACCACAAACTTTACTTGTTTGTGACTGCTTTTAAGCACGAGGATGTCAGTCCACAAGAACAAGGGCTCGGCCCACATTACTCACTTGGTCAGCACTTGGTCATACCGCGCCAGTGCTCCTCCTGTGCCCCCCACTTCCACATTTGTGAAAAGATTATTAAAAATTAACATAAAGACATGAGAACTAAATGATTTGGGAGAAACGGAGGCCTCCTGTGAGCAAGAAAGTCCCAGACATTTCATCACCCCCGAGGCTTTGTACAGCCCCGGTACCCAGACAGCAGCCATGCCCAGGAAAGGGTGCCTACTGGGAACAACAGCCTCAGCCCCAGGAATGTCAGCCATGTGCAAATGGATGTGGGTGTGAATCCGTGACTCTCTGAGGCTACAGGTAGGCACACGCAACATGCTCCCCTTCCCTTCAGTCTGGAAAGTCACCAGGAGTCCCAGTGTGTCTACAGTCACAATACAGGACAGAAGCAGCCTCCACAGTGGGAGCTGCCAGCTCTCCAGCAATGCCAGCAATCACCACGGAGACGCACATCCTGGAAAACACAGACCTCTCCTCCCCGTCGCTGCAGCCACCTGTGCTAACTTTCCCGACTGTGCTCGTTGCCTGGCACGACGCTGCACCTTTCATTCTTTACTACGAAATCACCGGGAGCCCAGCGTGTCTGAACATTATTCCAGGAGCGGCTCGGCAGGTGCCCCAGGCTTCATGCACATTCTTCCACTTCCAGACCTGGACCAGGGCTGTAAGTGGAAAATTGTGCCTCTCTCTAGGCTCAGACCTGCGCAAGAGTTCACATTTGAGCTCTGAATGAAGAGTGGCCTGTTCTGCATGACAGGATCCAAGCTTCAGAGACTCCCTCCCGCATTGCTCTGTATAGGGTGTTTTGAGGGGAGGGATTTAGAGCCCACCCAATATTCGGGAGCCCCTCTGCTGAGGCAGGTAGCCTGCTGAGCAGCATGGAGGCTGCAGCTCTGCTGTGTGGGCTGCTTCCCCCAACCTGCTGAGTCAAGTACTTGAGAACAAAGCATGAATCACTTTCTTATCATTGGTGCAGCCAGCAGCTGGCCAGGGCCAAGGCGGGGGCCGGCAGTGGGAAGGAAACAAGCTGGCCAGGCCCACAAAGAGCGGAGGTCACAGCAGGACCTTGCAGCATCCTGCCTGCCTGCCTATGAGACCCGAGACCCGCTGACCCAGCCAGGCTCACACACCATCCGGCAATCATAGATTCTCACACAAATCCAGGCTTCTGGGATGCAGTCACCATCACTTCTGGAATGCCCTGGGCTGTGTCCACACTGGCCCACAGGCATCCCACCAGGGCCACTCAGTGAATGCCCAACATTTTCAAGCTTCCTTGGAGCCACAATGGCTGGCCTCATGGAACCAGCCACTGCCCAGCTTGCTAAAAACCCAGCTGCACATCCTCTCCCAAGAGCAGACCCACAGTCCTTACCTTTGAACCTCTGCTCAAATGGGCACTGAGAATGCTTCAGCAATTCACTTTCTCATGTTCTGATGGCTGAAACCAGAAATGTGCAAGGAAATCAGAAACCAGACGGCAATCTCTCCTTTCCCTTCAGAAGAAAGCAGACAGCAGACTGAAGCAGTCAGTGTGCACAGTTCACTTTTATCAAAACATAATTCCTGACTAGCTACTTGGGAGGCAGAGCCCAGCAAGATCACAGTTCAAAGCCAGCCTGGGCACATAGTTCAAGAGACCTATCTCGAGAATACCCAACACAAAAAAACAGCTGGCTGGTGAAGTGGCTCAAGTGGTAGAGCACCTGCCTAGCAAGTATGAGGTCCTGAGTTGAAAACCCCAGTGCCACAAAAACAAACAAACAAAACCCGTAATGGCTGGGCACCTATAATCCTAGCTACTCAAGAGGCAGAGATCAGGAGGATTGTGGTTTGAAGCAAGACCAGGGCAAATAGTTTTTGCAAGACCCTATCTTGAAAAAAAAAGAGCTGTTTGGCTCAAGTTTGTAGGCCCTGAGTTCAAACCCCAGTACCACCAAAAAAAAAATCAACAACAACAACAACAAAAAACACACATAATGCCTGGGCAAGGGGTGTCACTTGTTGGTAGAGCACTTGCCTCGCATGCACAGGCCCCTGGGTTGCACGGTGAGAGTGCATACACACATACATATGCCTATTTTCTTGACCTTTTCTGTACAGTCAGTTCTTCATCATCGACACCAATGAGACAACAAAGGCTCACATTCAGCTAGCTGTGTGACTGAAGCCTCCCTCCAGGTATCATATTGCAGGTGAATACCCACACTGCTTTTCTCCTGAAAAACATGACATCGAGGATAAGGATCTGTTTCCCAACAGCTTCACAACACCCCCTGGCCGTGACCTCATGACCTCACCAGGTGAAGCAGCCCATACCTTTGCGAAAGGACATCCCACTCATTCAGAGCTCTCTACAGCTCTGGGTACAAGGTCCAGCACTTCAGTAGAACCTTGTTCTGTCAGCAGAGCTCCAGCCAGGACACCACATGACCAACTGGCCTCAGGACTCGAGTCCGGCATGGCCGACCAGCACCCCAAACCTGTGTGGGGCACTGACCAGATGTGCAGAGCCCGCACTCTACCCGACACCACAGAGCACAACAATGCCGTCCTCAGCTTCCTCACAAGGCCACCACACAACTGTCACTTTTTTTTTTTTTTTGAGACAGTGTCTCACTATGTAGCCCAGGGTGGCCTCGAATCATGGTCCTCCCCTCAGCCTCCAACTGCTGGGAATCACGGGTCACACCATACAGCTTTGGTACAGCTTGATTCATATTTTGTGCCATGAAAGTCA